GAAGGGAAATGCCTTTTGAAGTAGATGTACACCCTGTGACATGGATGTGATAGAAACCATGGCCCAGGTTTTTCTTGACTGCCACTTTTATAGGGACGTTCAACGCCAGTTGATTACCTCTCTTTCATCTAAATTTCTCAGGTGTTCTGGTAACTTTTATTTACACTGTTTGCTAGATGATTGAGATAATTTTATTTCCTTAAAAGAAGCAAAATTTTGTTGTATTATGTATAAACTCCACCTTCAAATGTTCAGGAACACACTTTGATATATTTAGGTGCTGACATTATTTCTTTTTATACAGTTTGTTACACCTTTTGCTATAATTCACTCTCTTAAGTATTGCAGCCACTGGAACAATTAAGGCAACGCCCATACATTTTTTATTTTCATTTTTATTTTAGGCTTTCATCTTTAGATTCCCCACCATTCCTTTCTCTGTTTTACCAAAATTTTTGAACCATAGTTTTACAGCCACACCATTAATCTTCAATTCTGAAACACCTGTAGATTTTAGTGATTGTCTGTTAGCCATTTGTACTTAATCATTTTTAACATTATATTTATAACCTTAATGGCATTGACATTATGTTTTTACATTTGGGATTCAGTTATTCTTACAGTAATATAGATTAGACTATTGACACAATGGGATGGTTTCAATTTTGCTCTTGCATGTAAATTTTGTTGGTCAATGACTGACATAGGTGATGAAGGAGTGGGATTAATTATCTTGACATTTCACAGCTTGTCTCAAGTCTTAGCCAAGTACAGTAACCAAAACTGTGTGTTGGAGGGGCACATATACTTTCTTATTCAGCGTCTACTTTCAGCTGAATTATCTGGCAAACCATCAGTTTACAAGTTTTTTAAACAAAAGTTTGCAGTTTAAACATAGGAGCTGCTAAACTGGTCTAAATCAGGCATGTCCATTGATGTGCGTGCAACGTCAATGCACATACACAAGGGGGTGGGGCTTCAATAACACAGTTGTGACTGCCATCTTTTTAAAAATTATTTTTATTAAACGTTTAAAGAAAGAATATAAGAATATAAACAAGACGAAATAGAAAACGTTTAAAAAGATTTAAAAAGTAGATGACACAATGTTGGAAATGTGAAAAACATGAAGAGACCTTTTATCATGCATGGTGGATGTATGAAAAGGCAAAAAAAAAAAAGGATATAAATATATACAGTATGTTGACACAAAGAATTTTGAAGGTAAATATTGAGGTGAAACCAGAACTTTTCTTATTGGGACTTATGGATAATCATTAAATGCACAACGATGGAGAAATACTGAAATACCCACAATGGAGGAATGGATTGTAAAGATGACAGAATGAGCAGAAATGGCAAAAGTGACCTGTTTGGTCAGGGATAAATCAATGAGTACTTTTATAAAAGAAGGACTTTTGCTGAAAAAGTGAAATGGTAATTGTGGATTTGCTGATTGAAAAAGGAGTTGAATGTGGGAGTTGAAGGGATTCCTGTCATGTAATTTGAATTAGGGAGGAAGGATAATAACTTTATTTGTAACTGCTGCAAAGAAGATCCGAAGTCGCTTCTTTAATTATCTTTTTTTCTTTCTTTAACTGTATTACTTTCTTCACTTTTTCTTTTATCTTTTTTCTTTCTCTAACTTTTCTTTAGATAGTTTCATGTTCATCTTTTATCTATCTAAAAATTTCAGTAAAATTATATAAACAAAAGTAGACTACAAATAGTGGAATATGAATATATGAACAAGGGATCTAAAATATCATAAAAATTACAATTTTCCAATATATTATTAATAACTTATAAAATTATATAATTTTTAGAGATAGAACTTTTTAAAGAAAGAACTGGAATCCCTATTAAGCTTTAAACTAAAAATACCTAGTTAAGGTAGTATAAATCACAATCCTGATATTCTGTGGCAGTCTCCCATCCACTCATCAGGCCTGACCAGCAAAATCAGCCAAGGTTGTTAAGGTGTAGAAATTCCAGAATAACATTGTACAAGTGCTACAGGGTCTTATCAGAAAGTATTGATATGTCTAATGAACCACACAGTATCCTCCCTCCCACTTGTCAGTCCCTTCCATTTTATATATGAATCCTAGAATCAGAGAGTTGGAAGAGGCTCTTGACTCCAACCCCCTGCTCGGTTGCAAGGGCTGAAGCTTGCAGGACAGGAACTAGTTCTGCTTGTTCCAGTCATAACTGCTGTGTAAACACTGAGTAGATGCATCCCAAATTCAAGGTTTAGAAAAGAACTTCTTTTGCCTACAATAACCTATCTACCCATGTCAAATCTAACTTGTTATTGAATGTGGGACCAAGGGGTGAGTTTCAGGACAGTAGAGATTTATTGCTATGTCTGTCTTCAGATACATCACATCCGTGCAGGAATCCAAATTAAAGCATTCAAGGCACCCTTCCTGCAATTTGTTAAGGAGGTTACATGGTCAAAAATGACCCAGGTTTAGCATAGCAAGTTTTGCTTTTGTCAAATCAGTAAGACTGTGTAGCACCAGTTTCAAAAGCAAACATTGCTTCAAAGTACATGGGGGGGGGGCTGTCTTTTAGTCCCTGTCTGCAGCTTCTTAAAGCAGCTGCATCTTTCCCAAGATTGCATGGTCGTCCTCCACAGCTGCAATGTAGTCCTGGGAAAAGATGCATTTGATTTAATATTTACAGGCAGGTACTACAGGTGGACCCCATGTGCTCTGAAGTATGTATCTTTTGCCTTAGCATCCAAAGTGCAGCACAGCTTTAGTCATTATAGTTCTCAAGGTGCTTACAGATCTTTATGACCTACCCTAGAATTTTCCCTGATTTCCCTGATAGATTTCCCGGATATCTACATCACATGCAACTGGTCTGTAGTTTGTTGAATCTTCCTTCCTTCCCTTTGAAGATTTCCTTTCCTCCAGTCATATGGGACTTTATCAATTCTCCAGGATTTCTCAAAAGTAGTTAATTATTTAGCTACATAATTTATATCCAGTCTGATGTCACAAAACTCTGGATGGCTCCTTTAATTCATGAGGGTTCACTGGACCATCAGATAGTTCCATCAGTATCCTAGGTTGCAATTCATTTGGTCCTGGAGACTGAAACTTCAAACAACAGAAGAATTCCATGACCAGGTATTATTAATCTCATGTGTTAGTCATGCCCCTTTATCCTACTCTTTGCCATTTCCTGGTAGAACACCTATTTTTCTCTTGGAGAAGCTTGTATTGTGATAGCCCTTCAGTAGCTCTGACTTTCCTTTGATTACCCATTCTCATTTTGTCTTTATCACTGACCAACTGGAATCCTGATTCTGTTCTTTTCCTTTTAGAAGCTTCCTGAAAGAAGCTTCTCTTGTTATTCTTAGCCTCCTTGATTAACCACAGTTCATTCTGAGCCCTTGCTTTCCTAACACCACCTCTGTATTTCCAGGCTACCCACCTGTAATCTTCCTTTATGACCTGACCCTTTCTCCATCTCCTGTATGTGTTCTTTTTAATTTCAGATCTTCACTAATTTTTTTGTATAACTGCACTGGCTCTTTTCTCTGTCCTCTGTTTCTCCTCCACAACCCCACCCCACTAGAATTATTTGCATTTGTGTTTTTAATAGCACTTTCTTTAAGAATTCCCATCCTTGTTGAGTTCCTTTTCCATTAACTTCTCCTGCCCTAGGAACCTACTTACCATATTCACACTGAAGTCCACCTGTGCAGTGCAGAACATTGGACAATGTTTGCTCTCCAGTGATTTAAATCAGTTCTTGCTGAGCTGCATCTTCAACAGCAGTGAAAAAAAAAAAAAGTGAGGTCAGGTTCTTGCTTGATGCCCAACCTTTCTCCTTTGTCATCCAGACTTAGGACTGACAGTGGTGAAGTTCTTACTCATCATAGCTCTGAGTTTATTAACATCTGTTGTGGGGGGTTTTGTTTTGTTTTTTGAAGTCCAAGAGATGTTTGACTATGCTCAGTTTTAGTTTTCCTTAAAATCAAGAATACGAACATTATATGGTCACTTTCCCCCAGTGTTTCTGCTATTTCCACTATAAGAAATTTAATCTTTTCTACTGCTTACTATCAAGTCAAGGAAAGCTAATCCTCTTGTGTTTTCCTTCCTCTGGAGGAAGAGAAAGACAAATCAGGAATTTTCTGGAAGAATCATGCTTGGCAGAGTTTACCTCCCCTCAAATGTGAGGATAATAAAAGGTTCCCATCATTGCAATGGATTTGCATTTTAGTTTTTGAAAGCATTGCCAAGTTCACCTATCTGAAGTTCTGAGCAGGAAAGGATAATTTTAGCATACCATGCAACTCATCCTCTCTTTCAGTTGCTTCTGTTTCTTTTGAACAAATGGTATCCTTCAGTTGCTAGTTGCAGTCATGGGAATCATCTGTTTTACCTGTACTATTAAGTATGTGTCCTTTGTTACTAAGAGCTCAGGTTCAGCGTGTTAATGCTCCATCCTCTGAGCATTAGTGTATGGGTAATGAGGGCCATTAACTTTGAATCAAGGTTCTGATTATTTTTTTAGTAGTTTAAGATGTTCAGTTTCAGCAACATCCCCGTGTTCTACAGTGCAAACGTCTGTAGCTGAGATCCTTTCTTTATGGTTTCCATTTGCCCCCCTTTAGGGTTTTCATTCCATTGCCCCTCCCCTGCCACATTCAGTTTAAAGCCCTCCTAATCCAGATCACCATTGTTGGCCAAACACATTTTTACCATTACTTGTCAGGTACAACTCATCTTGTGCCAGTTGACCATCATATACATATGTTAATTCTTTGCATGGTTCCCTGTCCGTGTGTGTGTGTGTGTGTGTAATAGGCAGGTTACGAAAATAGTATGCCAGAATCTTTAGTTAGCTTGGGGATTAATATTTTTCTGTCTGTGGTTCAACTCACATGCAATTAATTATATTTCCTTGCAGAACAGATTATCACTGAGATACATTTGAGACTTACAATTTTATTTTCCAAACATTCCTGAAACAGAATGGCAAAAGGAAATTGAAGCAAAGTAGGGGTTGAAGCATAGAAGCTCAGAACAGATGCTGAAAATGAAAGTGTTTGAAGGGAAAGAGAAGGCTGGTATACTTCTGAGCATCCCCCCACCTGAGAGAAATATGAAAAGTTCTTTCATGGAAGAAATAAAATGTGTTACTTCTAATATTAGAATATAAACCTTGGTCTATGGTGGAGGGGCAGCACAGACTTTAAAAACATTTGGTAGTGATAAATACATTCACATTTAGCAGTTAAGAGGAGGCAGGTGAGGAGAAATGTTTATGAATTTTGGAGTAAGGGCAGAAGGAATTTTGTTATTCTGATGTAGATTCCTGATGTTATCTCATAGTCAGATCTAGCTGGCATCATCAGGAAACATCTTTGGGAGCATAGGCTTCCTGTCCTTACTCTGATTTGGCTTTGTTGCTGTCATTTTATTCAGTTGGTTATGTTAAGGACTGATCTTGTCTCTCTTCCTCCGTGGTCCCAGATTGCCTTGGTTTGTTTCTACCAGAAATCTTTAAAACAGCCAAATGTTATAAAAAGAAAAGACCACAATCAAGTATATACAGTCTATGGAAAGGTCAAGCTTCGAAAGCCGTCAGCCAGGCAGTCATCATCCCCACCTGCACCCTGATATGGAGCACTCTACAAAATATTTTATCCACTAATTGGACTGAATGGGTCCTAAATGTAATGCTATTACAATCATAAAGGAATTTGTGGCAATCTTTCACAAGGAGAAGTACACTGGGCCTTGCTCTGGGGAAAGGTATAGGTGCATTCAAATGAGTTCAATTATTCAATAGCTTTGCTGGGTAATTTCGGCATTTTTTATGTTAATACATTGCCTTGCCTTTTATTATCCTATCTGGAAATTATAATTACATTCCTAGCTATTAGGAAATTCACTCTCTTCATTGACACTTCATAGAAGTTTTTCCACCGAAGTTTTTTTCTTTCTGATTACATTGGTATCATTTTCTCATAAGTCCCTGGAGAAAAATAACTTTTCTTTCTGACCTGCAAAATAAAAGAAACATTACTTAGGTTCCATATACTACCCTAGATGTTTAAATATTTGATATCTGTAATCTACCAATAGTGATTAATAATAACAGCTCTGAATTCACAATTGGTTATCATAAAATACCAGATAAAGGCAGTATCAGGATTTGTGGCTTGAAACAAAATGGGTAGTTTATGGAGTAGATTTGACATGGAAGTCGATTCACAAATTAAATATTGTCATTTGGATGCACACTGTTGGATTGAAGACAATATAGTAAAAAAAATGTCTTGAGACAGAAAGTGGGCTTAGAATTATTCTGTTTCCTAGTGAGCTGTCTTTTAAAAATAGCAACAGCAACAAAATAAAGCAATAGCAATTATTATTAGTTTTAACATCAGGATGTTATTGCACAGTAAAATTTAAGCAGATCGCCTGATCCAATCACATTCACTGAAGCAAAACAAAATGTAGTTACTATTTAAGGCATCATATATTAATGAATTTGTTTCTGTATTTGTGGTGACACCAAAATGGTGACAATTAAATGGATCCTATTGATTATTCAAAGAGTCAGTTGGACTACTTCAAATCTCATTTGAATCATGCCACATTTCTGATGCCATCAGATACAATGCAGGAGAGTCTATTTTCTGGTATTTATTGTAGGCAAAGGGAGGTGAAGACTGATAACTAGTTCAGTTTTCTGAGCTATATTCAGAGACCCGTGCAATTCACCAAACGCTCATAACAGTCCATTCCAAATGTATTTAATATATGTTTCTCTGTTCCAGCAAGGGTATCACAGAGGCCTTGAGTTTTTGCCTTTCCCATTACAGCTGGTGGAGTTTTGCCACTGAAGCCTCATTATGGTGGTAAAAACTCTGAAGCCAGGAGGCAACTGACATACATTTTCATAGATCCAGAGAACCCCGGTCCCCCTGGAACAACACCAGAACCATAAACTAACCATGGCAGTCCCAGAACGTATAGCCAGCAGGACTTGAGGCAGTTCTTTGTTGGTCACAAGATCTCCCAACCAAATCCAGAGGAGGACTTTGTTCTACATTGCTTAAAACGTTTAAAGAGTGTGAATAATTCTCCTAACTCTAAGTGTATCTGCTCATGATACTAATAATTCCTCTTGATTTGCTCCCCATGTGGAGTGTGGGATTATGATACTTACCACCTTTCTCATAATGAAGATCGTGATTAAAATGCTGTATCCAAGCAACCCAGAAGCTACTAGTATTAAGATCCAAAGATAGAGATGTTTATCTGGGCATGAATCTATATCTGAAATTTAAAAAAAAAATCATTTGAAGGATTCTATAACAAATCTTAAATTTTAAAGACTTACCAATATTGCGCTAAGCTAGAACAAAATAAATTATATTTTAACACTGAGAAAAAATATAGCCACTTATTTATAATGTATTTACAATGTACATTGTCTTTGCCTAGGTTCCTCTGGAAGCCTTCAAAAGATTATGGAGACTATATTCTGGAGGATGTGAAAGCATTCTTCTGAACAGTCCTTTAGTTGCAAGGTCATGCTGTAACTATTTAGTTATACATATTAAGATTTAGATTTAATCAAAGAACTCTTCCTAGGTATGTATTACTAGGTTGCAAGCTTCATGGAGTAGGGATGTGTCAGAATTATTCTTTGTAAATTTCCATGTAGATAAAGTGATGCAGCAACAACAGTGGGGTTTGCTACATTCCATAAAGCTGTTCGAGAGACGGAAGTGTTATGATGGTTTCGTGCAAGTAAAGAACTATCCAGTCAACCTGAAACACTTTTTCTCAGCCAACACAAGTTTGGTTAGGAAAAGCTGCCAAACTCCAGGGACAGAGTCACACCCCAGAAAGAAAAAGTGAGCCTTCTCTTATATATGTATTGTGACCTGGCATGAAGCTCCTGGGAGGAATCTAGCATGATTTACAGATACTCATAATTAACTAAATCAGAGGATTTGGCTAATCTGGCTGACTGGAAATAGTTCTACTAATTAACTTTGAGTACAATATGCTGCAAGGAATTAAGACACTAATCCTAACTCATTTACTATATGGGCTTTAGTAAGCACACATAGGGGCACCTTATGCAAGGGGTGATGTGGGGGTTGCAAATTTGTACTAGTCAACTTCATTCATGAATTCCTCTTCTCAACAGTTTTAAAGCACCCTTAGGTTTTCTTTACTCACCAATGACAAACAGCTGGGTCCCCTTTCCTTTGACTGGGTAGTAGGGTGGAGGGTATATCCGTTCAATCTTGCAAACATACAAACCAGCATCACTTGACTGTAGATCCAAAAGCGTTACATTTACCCTATCACGAGCAGGATCAATTTGGCATCTGTTGTTATCCTTCTTGCTGCACGGTGTGACCCCAGTAGTACTAAAGGGTGAGGCACAGATCTCAGTTGACTTATTGTCTTCTTCTTTAAGTAAAGTTACCTTTAGGTCTTCAGCATTGCCAACATTCTTGATTTCACACACAAAGTGGGCGGCCTCTAGTCTCTTTACCACTATGAATGCTGGCTGGGTCACTTCCATCACTAGTACAGAAACAAAAACAGACACAGACTTTTGTGATAAATTCATCTCTCTAGGAAAAAGACATCCTAGCCACAGAAAGGGAAGATGCTAGTTTTTCAGTCATTTACGTGTTGTTAGTCCTGCTAGGTATACTTTCAACATTGATACAGTAGGTCTTTAAAACTAAATTATTTTGCTTTAGGATGCCTTATTTACTATTACTTTTCTACTAGTTGCTTAATTATCTTTATAAAAATAGAGCATAAGAGAACTACATTCCCAAGAATATACAGAAATTATATCCATAGATTTTGGAACACACATTAGAATATCTACAGAATTATATATACGAGTAAGCAGAGATTTTAATGTAAAGAATGTATATCACACTCCTTCCTTCCTTCCTCATATTATCTCCCTTATGTACTGCAGCTTGCCAGCCCACCAGCTCATTACAGTATGTCTGGGCTCCAGCTGAGACCCTGCCTTCTTCCCTACCAGCTGCTATTCTGAGGCTATTAGACAGAGAATAGGCAGCTGGTGAATGGGTTGAATTCTGGAACTAAGAATTTAGTAGCTGAAAATGTTCCTTCTCCCTCCTAATCCCTTTTCCTTTTTGTCATGTTTTTCATATTATAAACCTGCTGGTAGGTGAGGGTTTATTTCCTGAATTCTTGGGTGAAGAATGGGTGAAAATAATATGGAAAAAAACAACAGCAGTATAAAGATTGTAAGAGCCTTGGGGCAATAACATGTTTTCTTATTCTTTGCAAAGAGCTATATATATAAGAGGTAGAAATAACAATCCCCATCACAACAATAGCCCCGTTGCTATGGATTACTCATGTTTCTTCTTGACTATTTTTCAACCCTGGAAAAATTTGTCAAGCTTCGACCACTCTGATCTACCCACCTTTTGTGAAGCCAGAAGCTATGTTGTAAATCACAAGGGTGAACAGAAGTGAAATCATCTCACAGTCAGATGTTTGATCCACGTCAATGCTCAATGCTTGGTCCAAGTCAAGCTGGAACAATCCAAGTCTGTAACTAGAATTCCAGGTTAAAGAGTAGATCCTTTCTCAGAATACAAGATTTCGTTGTGACAAAAATGGGAGAATTCACACAGTTTATGTATGAGGAAGTAAGAAATAGATGCACACAGAGAAAAAAAAATACCTGAAAAGGTAATCAAGGTTTTGTTATGGCTTTTTGAAAAGGAAGTTGTGGGTTGGCTCAAGGCGTGCACAACAAACCTCAAACAGCAATGAGCAAAGCAAGCATTCATCAAAGAGCAAAATCAGTCAATTTGAAACAAGTCTTAACCTAATGGCAGTTAAGGTAAATAGATAGAAATAAATATAAAGTGTGAGATTGTCCAATAATTCTAGTGTTAATTCATTTCTTTCAACTTCTTATGTATTTTTCATTCCAGAAAACATAATGTATTTATGTATCACTTATAACACTCAAACAGTGTCCACTGTATGCATTACTTCAATTCAGATATAGCCTCAGTCCTCATCATCCTTCCCTGTGTCCTGGATTCTGGCAACATGAAGCTTGCTCCAGTGAGCCCTATAGACCAAGGCTATATTGTTATGTATTTATATTCTAAATGATGTCAGAATGTTGGTGACTCAATAATATAGAGTTGCTATGTGAGATGGGCAGCTATATAATTGTAATACATACTACAAATATTTTTCATGTTGTCTGTTAATATTATATTGATGCACAGAATGCATGTGAATTCAGAAAAAGTATAGTAAGTATAGTAATTATTATCTGTGTCAAATGAAATATACTTTAGGATATCTCTGGGTTCTACTTCTAGGTTCCTTCAGAAGCCTCTGATTAATTTCTTAATGGTCACATCTGGATTCTGAACATTTTCTCCCAAGGTCTCCTGAGTTTCCTATTAGAGGGAATGATGGATATGCTCTTTTTAAAGAACTTAGTAATTGTGGGAAGCAGATTTCAGCAAACATCTTTCTTCTTTGCTTTATTTGCCTATCAGTTCACTGACAACTCAAAAACATCAAACATGTTGCACTTCTTCTGAAATACTGTCACTCTACCATAATCAAGAAATGATACTTCAAAGATTACCATCAATTACTGTGAAAGGCTTGCAAATTAACAGAATATATCAATGGGAGGAAAAGACAAGTCTATTCCATTAAATAATGAGGGTGTGTGAATCCCATCTGCAAGATTTTCTCAACAGAAAGAAAATGGCCCATTGCATCCTACAACAGAAAGGGAGAGCAACTTGCAATGAACGGAGCTATTGAACCAGTTCTTTCTACCGTAGTGATCAATATCCTGACTTGCAAGAGTCCTTTCCGCTATCATTGCTGGGGATTGATCCTGGAACCTAGTGCATGCCAACTCTGACCTCTATCACTGAGTTGGCCCCATCACACCTCATCCCAATACATCTTTGAAAATCCTTCTTAGGAACATACTAACTTATGTCCTAAACTAATAAGACATTCGAATTCACCATTACAAATCTCTAACCCAACACATGTAATACATTTGTGTGGAATGCAGTGCAGCAGAACATTTTTATCATAGTAGGTTTCAGTGGTTCACTGCTGTTTTACTTCTAATTTAAACTGTAATTATATGTTTCACCCAGATAAAGATCCACCTTTGTTGCCTCTATATGGTAAGTACAGGATTTGGGTTGTTGTTGTCTTTTAACATTACTTCCTCTTTCGTTTTGATTTCCATCATTGATAATCAATGTCTTGTCATTTACTTCAGAAACATCCAGTCATAAATATAGGGGCTATACTTGGTTCTCCATGTCATAATGAAACTCTTAAATGTGTTCACATCACGTGTGTTACTGCCATTGCCACCACACTCATTATCTTTCAATTTTTTCAGCACAAAAAAGTGATAGACCAGCAACTTTTATTTGTTACTTGCAGAATATTGAGGTCAAGTCACGAAGAAACCTCGAGCTACGTCAATTCATTGAATTAATAAATGGCTTTCTCCATTTATATTGACCAAAATTTCTAGACGTGCACAAAATATTTTGGAAAGAACCTTGAGGGGAAAAGAAAAAAAATAGTACTCCAGTGCAGATGGAAAACACTCAGAGCCATGAAATGCTGTTTGGCAGGAAGGAAAAGAGGAGAGAAGAAATGTGGGATGTAAATGGGCATAGGAGACTGGACAGGAGGACACTCGTACTTTTATTGTGGCTCTCAATTGTCTCCTTTGGAGTCAAATGTGGATTCTCTATTTAGAATAAGGCCACTGTGGGCTTTAGGCAATGTTCCGAAGACTTTTCAACCCCAGAGTCAATAAATACCATTCATTTTTTCATCTGTAATTGGCCATCAATATAGTTGCATATTTAAAATCTTGTTCATGATATGCCAGTAACTGAGTAAGAAAGAGAGGTTTCTGTTTTCCATGCCTATAAAACTCAGGGTAGCTTCCCTCCACCTGATGGTTTGGGTTGAAATTATTATACCCCCAACTGATGTAACTCTTTGGTCAGGAATGATGGGAGCTTCTGAAGGAAAGCAGGCTTGGGGAACTGATGTAGACCCAGAACCACATTTGCTGCTTAGCAAAGGAAGAGGCTTGCATAACAATGCCCTGCCTATTTGTTTTTACTTTTCTGTTGCTTTTGACCATTCTTTGCTGAATAAATCCTGATATATTCTCTCCTGGGTTAACTATCTCACACTTTGTTCTTTCAGGGCTCCTCCACTGAGTACATAGCACTGGTTCAAAACCCATTCCAGACCAATGTGATCACACAGCATCAGCTGGTTTTGAAGGCTGAGGGTTTTTAAGTTCTGCTATGGTTTATTTAAAATTAGAGCAGACTGTTCTTTGCAACCCCTCAGTTCTGTTGAGCTTCTGGATGATCTGCTTACCCATGGTGGGAACTTGTAATTCATATATCTCCTGGACTTCTTGTCCCCACTTTGCCAGTATACTTGAATTGGGGGCTTTTAAATGCAGCAGAGGAATAGGGACAGAGTGGCTTGGATCTTTACAAATGACCTTTCCTTTGCACAGTTTCTTAAGAAGGCAACATGGATGGGTATGGGAGCAGGGACATCCATGGGGGGAGTAAAGAAAGTCAAATCTGCATGCCTGAGCTTTCTGTCCTCATGATAAGGGAAAGCAAAAAAACAAAAGAGAGAAGGTAGTACTCTGTTCATCCTGTAAGGAGAGGACTAATGGGAAAAGCCTGAGTATTAATCTTGCAGTTAGGGAAAAACAGCACAGAGAGAGGACTTCTCTTGGTTGTCATCACTAGTTCTAATGTCCCTAGTGGGCAATAGAATAAAAGCTACAAGGAGTGGATGTTTCTGAAACTCCATCTCCAATTATCACAGGTCGGTTCCAAACTGCTTTGGTGAGACTGCTGGGTAGAAGTGCCCCCAATCATAAGAAAATGTGTAAACTAACAAAGAAAGGAATTGGTATCTAGGACATGTAGGAGATCAATAAAACCCATATTTAATGCAGAAAATAGCCTGCCTTGTGCCCGTCTGACTTTAGATTCACACCGTAGTTCGGAAAGGAAGTATAAAATAATTCATCTCCTCTTTCATACTTAGAAAGAAAGGGAAAAAAGAATTGGGGATCCAGCCATTCAGGAGCACCCTGTGAAAGCAAAAAAGGACCAGACCTTTGACGTAATTTACTAAAGCATGACCATTTAATTCAATGGCATTCATTATGGCTAAAAGGTAAGTGAAGTGATGGGAAAATAACTATCTGCCAACATGTTCGTTGCTCACCCTCAAATCATCCGGCAGACAAACAAAGGAAAGGAAGGAGAAGGAAGAAATAATTTACTAGAATGAGGGGCTATGTCCAGATCATGGAACCACATCTAGTGGCTGTCTGAATTTCTGAAGCTGTGAAATCTGTATCAGGTAATCAATCTCTCCCCAGCATGACTTCTTGTGGAAAGTGTGATTCTTCAGGATCTTATAACCCACTGACTACACTGACATTGTGGGTCATTGTCCTGGACAGGCCCAAAGGGAGTGGCCTTTGGTTATTCCAGCCTTAATTCTTTTATGTACATCAAAGCAGTAGAATAGAGATGCAAAGTTGGACACCAAGTGATCCCTCCTCTGTTCTGCATCTTTAAAGAAACACTTTGGTTGATGTGGATGATGTATCCCCCAATCAATGTCAGGGTCTTCTACCTTTTGTTCAGAGATTCTCTTCCTGATGTAGCTGGCTAAATGCTATGCTCTGCCTATCCCTTTCATGTATTTCCTTAAATAGGCTTTCTTTCTAATAAAACTATAAATCTGTTTCTTTCAACCTTGCTCAGGCTAGAATACTACTGTCAAAAATGCTCACATCTATCCACATATACAAACACATGCTCTTTCTCCAACAGTTTTAAGACAACCCAAACCATGTTACAATCTGTTTTTAATCCTCTTGTTTTCCCAGTTCTTTTTTTTTTTTTTTCCTACTGCAAAAAGAGCAGCAACTCCCTTTTGTCTGGAACTAGTAGGCGATTTCTCTCTGGAAGCGCTCTGAGTCTTTCCCAAGGAGTCTTTAGAGTGGACAGAAGGACAGCAAAAGACACAAGAAAATTTGGAGATTTGGAAAATGGGTTTTGTGTGTGTTTGTGTGTGTGTGTGAGAGAGAGAGAGAGAGAGAGTTCAGTTCATTAGTTATGTAAGCTAGCTCTTCATTTTTGAACAGATGATCTTACTTAATGAACTTGGCATGTATGCAGAGGCAGACCAAAATCATTAATAACTGTAATTAATTTATTCATTATTAATGATAATATATGATAATAAATTTCACAAGAGCAGAAGACTGCAATGCAAAAAATACTTGAGTTGCATTAGCAGGTGGTTTGGATTCTCCTCCAAGGCCAAATAAAGAATCTATTTAGCTAAGTCAGTAGGTTTTACATAGCAGCAAATTACTGTTGAGTATCCTGAGACTGTGCTTTAAAACATCTAATGTGCTAAATAGATTAAAACTCATCAGAAATGTATGATAGTTCATCAAAGGCTTAATAAACTGCCCCTGTTAATGCCTACTTAGGACTAGGAAAAGATAATGGCTATTAAGATAGGTCACAATATATGACTGAGGGGACTGTGTTAAACTTTAGAATCACA